TTACTTTTAAAAAAGTAATCAGTTACAAGTAACGCGTTACTGCCCATCTCTGTTTAACAATGAGATGTCGCTGAAGTTCATGTGCGTGTGAAGGCAGACAAGCGAATACAGTTGGCAGTATAAAATTTCACAGTTTTGACATTCACAGAATAAAAATGTTTATGGTCAAATGTTTTTGGTCTTTTTGTCCCTTTCCTAGGTCTGAAGAGGAAGAAGCGGAAGATGGGAATGTACAACCTGGTCCCTAAAAAGAAGGCCAAGGCAGTTAAACAGCCAGAGAAGGCAGGTCTATTAATTTATTTGCTCACTGACACAAACGTTGACTGGGGGTTTAGTTGAAAAGAGGCACTCTACTAAGATATTACGCAGTTGTTAATACCAAGTGCAGATCTTTGAATCGCATGACGTTGTATGTTTTCCTGTTGCTCTGCATACACTTACAGACATTGTTCTTTTGTATGGTTAAATGTTGTTAATTCATTATTTGTCAGACTGATTCTGAGTGGGACATTGGCATTTTTAATTTGTCACTGTCACGATGTGGTTTTCTTGTTCAACTGTTTCAGAACTTTTGCTATGAAAGGATGTCTACACAGAATTCTGTTTGCTTGTTGCAAATTGCTTTGTAGTTACTGGTCACTCGTTCGCTTCAATTTGTCATAATGTCAGTACTTTGCTCTCACTGGTAGTCACTTGACCTAGAAGTTGAGAAGCTTAATTTGAGACCTGCTCACTGGACTTTGAGGTTGGCAAGTGTTGTCTTCATGGACTTGTTCCTGCAGACTACTTCCAGTTTGGACTAGCCTTTTTTCAAATCACTAGACGTAAATTGTCAGAAAATGTTATTCCTGTCTTTATCAATTTTTTATTATTTTTCTGTATTTAAGAAAGAGGAGCCTAAAGTCAGAATGGAGAAGAACCAAACTGCAGTTGTTGAGAAACCAGTGAGTCCTCCTGTAACTGTACAGGCTGGAGCAATGACAGCTGTCAGGAGGGAATCGCACGTGGAGGAGATGGAGTCAGGACAAGGGAGCCATGTAGAATACACAGAGCTGGCTTTGGACTGCCTGGACCTGAAAGCTCAGCAGGAGCTTCTCTCACCATCCGTATCAGCAGGTGAGATGAACTTACTGAATGATAACTGGATTACCTCTAACCTGAAGTCATCACAGCTCCTCTTTTCTTTCTACAATGCTCAGTTTTAGAGTTCACAGGCTTGCTGTGATCTGTATTAGAATAACAGGATTTTGTGTGTAGGTCTGGCAGCATATTCTGAAGTGGCAGAAACAGACTTGGCTGAGGAATTGCCGCTATGCTGCTGTCGCATGGAGACACCTAACAGCAGAGGAGGCCTCTCTGCGTTGGATCAGACCTGCATGGCCATGGAGAGTGCAGATGGAACGGTAAAGATAAACTAGAATAACAAAGACATTCATGGTCTCATTGCCCCTGAAGAAAAAAGCTTCACAGTAAACTATATGAAATTAATTTTATTTGTAAACACATCTTCAGATAAACAATACATGACTTTTTATTTAGCTAAAATTTAGGGTTAGCCAAGTAGTGTATGGCAAAACTAAGTACAGCCTTTCTGCTTCAATAGGAATTAAGAGATTAAGTAGTGCTGCTAATCAAATATACTTGATTACATGACCATTAGTAAGTGTGGGCACCTCTATAAAAGCAGAGGTTTTGGTAGGGCTGGAGCATTCAGCTGTGTTATCAGAAAAATTAGTAATGGTCTTAAAGAAACAATTGCTGCTGCCCATCAGTCTGCAACGAGTTTTAAGGCCATTTCCAAATAATATAAACTCGTATCTTTCAACCGAGAGAATGTCTTTCCATGAGTGAATCTCCCAGTAAATTCACCACAATGGAAGACTGCCGCGGTCAGAGAAATCTGTCTGAGAGCTAAAACAGAAAGTCCACAAGTTACATCTCAGACTCTATAGGCCTCAGCATGTTAAATGTTAAAGTTCATCACAGTAAAATTAAAAAAATGGCTTGATAGGAAAGGTTTCTAAATGCTATTTTCTCTTAAAAGGTCATGACATCACAGCTTGGCTTTGCTAAGATGCATCTGAACAAAATACACAATTTCTGAATCAATGTCTTTTGGAGAGTTGAGATCAAAGTGCAGATGTTTAGCCTTAATACACAGTGCCACATTTGTCAAAAACCTAGCACAGTGATGGAGAGGTGATGATTTGAGCTTGTTCTGTACCAAAGTATTCAAAAATTAAAAGCAAGACCATCAGCTTGGCTGAACTTGTCCTGTCATTCAGCGTGACAATAACCTTGTTTGCATTAATGCTGCACCAGTGTGGTATTCATTTTTTTGTGTCTGTGTGTCTCCGCTCAGCTAAATCGCTGTCACAGGCGAGTGATGAAACAGGAAATGATGCGCCCCTCCAACACTGTCCATCTGCTGGTGTTGTGCGAGGATCACCGAGCCGGTATGGTCAAGCACCAGTGCTGCCCTGGATGTGGACTGTTCTGTAGGACGGTGAGCAGACAAAGCACACAAAGTCCTGAGATTATTAATTTACTGCAGTACATGCTCAAATATACTGCAGGACATTTTTGCCTGTTTTTGACTACTTTTGATTTTACCTCTATATTTCACTTTTAAAAACATTTTTCATTTTCACATACTCTGTTAGTATATAGTATATTTACTATACATACTATATACCAGAGCTTCCCAAAGTGTGGGGCCTGCCCCCCAGGGGGGGCGTAAAGCCATTTCAGGGGGGCACGGTATGAAAAGGGGGGAAAAAACCAAAAAATGCTTGGACACTGCTAGCACGGGGCGCCCACACAAACGCACAGCAGGAGATGAAGCATAGCTGAATATGTTTCCAAACCAACTTCATTCTAAGCCAAAGACTAGAAAATATGGTGAAGCATATCTTCCCTTTGCCTTCACCTGTACATGTGCCAAGTAGGGATGGGTACCGGTATCCGGTGCCATTGTGGTACCGGTTCTGACATAAACGGTAGTAACCAGACCGAAAAGCAGCGCACATTTCGGTGCTTTATTTCGGTGCTTTTTTTCCCCTTGAGATGTCATATACTTTGGATTCTAGCTAATCATTTAACCTTCACAAGGATAGTAGGCGGGCCCAGGTACGTACATTCTTTTAGAGCAGAGCTACAGATTAAAAATGCCCAAGGCGAAGCGGTCAAAAGTCTGGCTGTACTTTACAGCAAAAGATGCAAACTCAGCAGCCTGCAACAAGTGCTTTAAGGTGATACTGTGCAAAGGACATTTGCACAGTATCACCGTTTTTCATTTTGTCATTATTGTATGTAGAAAAATTGACTTTAATCCATTTTGGAATAAGACTCTAACATGACAGCATGTGGAACAGTGATGCTCTCGGAATACTTTCCGGATATACTGCGTATTTACTTTACACATTTAAAGGGGATGTCGCATTCCTCCAAGAGACTCATTTACAGGTGTCTGACCTCTCTTCCAGGAAGGTTCCTGTCTTCAAATCAACACAAATTAACACAAAATATTAGTAATCGCTTTGAGTGTATATGTGGCTTGACAAGTAAAAGATGTGGCGATCGTGGCTCAAGAGTTGGGAGTTCGCCTTGTAATCGGAAGGTTGCTGGTTCGAGCCCCGGCTTGGACAGTCTCGGTCGTTGTGTCCTTGGGCAAGACACTTCACCCGTTGCCTACTGGTGGTGGTCAGAGGGCCCGGTGGCGCCAGTGTTCGGCAGCCTCACCTCTGTCAGTGCTACATGTAGCTTGCCATCACCAGTGTATGAATGTGTGTGTGAATGGGTGGATGACTGAGTGTGTAAAGCGCTTCATACAAATACAGGCCATTTAGAAATGTTTCAATCTGAAACATGTTGAATGTTTCACTGCTGTTCTTTTTAACTTTTATCCCATAGGGCACCTTCATGGAGTGCAGGCCCTATGGCAGCATCTCCCACCGCTTTCACCGTGACTGCGCCTCCATCCTGAAGGACCGAAAGTTTTGCCCCCACTGTGGAGAGGATGCCTGTGGGGCAAAGGAGGTCACAGTCCCCAAGGCTGATCTGTCACCCTCTGTCCCTAGATTGAATCCTGAGTCATCGCTTCCAGCTGTATCTGCGGTGGCTATGCCGGCTTCAGTCCCAAACATGTTACGAATACAGGGGCTCAGAGCTAAAAAGAGCAGTGAGCCGCAGAGAGGCAGAGATGAGAGCCCAAGCAGGTAACATAGTGCTGCTTGTGGCCATGACATCTCTTTTCCTCACAGATGAAAAGTAAAGACCAACTTCCTGGATGAAAGGAACTATTAAAGGATAAATCAAGCTTACTACTTGTTTTTTTTCCTCTGCAGGTTAAAGGATGAGGCTGTGAACACTGCAGAAAGACTTCCCAAAGAGTCACTGGAGAGCATTCTGTTGGCACTGGATGATGAGAAGTAAGGTTACCCTTGAAATATAAGAGTGCCATCAGTGTGGGTATCAAAGTTTACACTTTGAGATAAATGAATAACCTGTATTCTTTTCAGCCTCAAACCAAAGAAGGTCAAGTACCCCACAAGGCAGCTGTACATTTCTGCAAAGCAGGGAGACCTCCAGAAGGTCATCCAGCTTCTAGGTAGCTCACATATGTTCTCAGAAGAAAATTGGCTTTAGCAACATCAACTCTGGATCTACTTCTTGGCGGCTGTTTAAGACCAAAATTTGTGTGTTACAGTTGATGGGAAGGACCCCAACTTTTTGATGGAGGGCCAAAACAAATGCACCCCCCTTTATGCAGCAGCTGCTGAGGGTCACCAGGAGATCTGTCACATGCTGGTCCAGGTGAGACGATACTAGCTTCACTGCAGACTGTTTGATAAGACGTATTGGAGACATGCTTTTTGGACACCCAAGTTGTAAATGCAATTACTCAAGACAAGGTGATACCACAGGTGCATCTACTAGAAATCTTTGAGTTTAAATCTAAGTGACCTTGAACTTGAGGTCAGAGATCAAGTTTTCTTGCAAATATAACTCAAGAAGGAAGTCAGTGAAGGAAGTGTGGGATTTTCACATTTATACTGTATGTGAATCTGTTAGCAGAGTGAAGAGCAGCACTGGCGGCCACCAGTATTTTTCTATTCTGTGGGAGGAAAGCTGGAATTGTGTCAAATAAATCCGGGGAAGACATTTTTAAGATCAATGATCCCTAATCTTGAAAAAAAAATTTTCAAGATTAGGGATCATTGAGTTTTGAAAAGAAAAGAATTTGTAAGTATAGATAAATAAATCCTGATCAGATAGTTTAAAAATGAATGGTTAATTACTCATTGCAATAAGTAGAAACTATTTTTTTAAAGTAATCCTATAAATTAATTCAGCTTGCACCATGAACTAATATGCCAAAGTGCATTTGTTTATCTGTCCAGTATTATTAAAATTCTAACATCCTTTCTCAGAGTTGTACTGAAAAAACTGGTTCATGCATTTATTACTTCAAGGCTGGACCAACTCCCAGTTTAGATTCAGAAGTGAGACTCCCTCTCCGCTTTTAGTTGGGACTAATTGAGGTGACCTTGAACCATCCATTAGTTTGGTGTTCACTTTTGGGAGATTTCCGATAATGCACTAGTACTTCTACATCGCTGCATTTTTTTTCCTCCCCATATGATCATATGAAAGCATTGTCATTTGTTTTTGTCTGCTCTGTTTGTTGTTCATGGTTTCTCTGTATGAGTTAACATGCCCGTCTTGGCTCACAGGTGGAAGGTGTAGTCATACTGAATACTGACTTTAAAGCTTACTATAATTGTGCAAACTCTATTTTTTCAGTATGTACTCTATTTATGTATGTTTGTGCACATTGCTTCACCTAGGTCCCATTTTCCTATCAAAATATAAAGTAATTGAGAAATAAGGTATGATCTTAAATTTTGTACAGTACAGTATGTGTGAGTCAAGGATTCCCAGTTTAGTCTCTGGTGGAAATTATTCTTTACAAATTAAATTTAAAAAAAAAATACCAACACATTTTCAATAACAATCATTTTACAGTCTAGGCACTGGCTGAAGTCAGTGTGTAAACTTGTGACGTTGCATTTGTGTGCACACACAGGCTGGAGCTAACCTGGACATGTTTGATGAGGACCAGAGAACACCACTGATGGCAGCCTGTGAAAACAACCACCTGGACACGGTGAAGTATCTTCTTCGAGCCGGAGCGTCCATCAGCCACAAGGTGGGTGGGTCGGTCCCCATCTCAGGCACCGTTAGCGTCTCCTATCAGCCTGGTGTATACTTTAGTCAGATTCTGTGTCATCCATCACTCAGTCTGATTCCACTCTCTGTCATCTGCTGCCACTTCTTAGGACCTTCAGAACCTGAGGTTCTGTTTTTAGAATCACATTCATTTTTTTCACCTGCTTATTAACAAGTCAGGTTAAAGTGGGGGGGGGGTCCAGGCGAACAAAAGAAAACAACCCCTAAAACATGACAAAGGCATTAGATTACAAGAATCTAAGATTATTGTACAGTTTAAGAGATTCAGGGACCTGAAAACAACCAATACAGTAAAGCAAAAAATATATTTTATTTGCACCACATGGGCAACCTGGTAGCTGTACAGTTTCTAGCTTTACACAATTCAGAAGATCAGTTTATTGATGGGGAGGTTTGAACGTGAGTTTTGTCTTGCACGGGAAACTGGTCACAACTAGCATTGAGAGGTTCAGGCAGCAGCTAACCCAGGTACAATTTTGCAGAAAATCTGCCTACAACTTTGTCTGTGTAGGTTCTCAGCCATCCAGGTCATTGTAGTCTAAGGAGCTGGGAAGAAAGCAACTGGACCTCTTTGAATTTTGTGAAGATGTTTTACCTCATCCAAGAAGCTTCTTCAGTTTTAAAACCAAAAGGTAGACAGTCCCAGGTATTTAGACCTTAGTGTGGGTTGTCCCTTAAGAGGGTCTAAGGAGCTTGGAAGGAAAAGCATCTGGACTTTTTTAAGTTGCTTGAAGATGTTTCACCTCTCATCAGAGAAGCTTCTTCAGTTCTAGGGTCAAATGGTAAATGGTAAATGGCCTG